ATTTAATAAAGTCAATTTGCTTAGAAATGCCTAGCCATGGGCAGCAGATGCTACATTAATTTCTGCTTTCTCTGGAATTTCACTGGGGCTTAATGTCACTATTAGCAAAGGTAACTTTATTTTAGAAACTCATTCCGCGTTTGCACAGCAAGAGGAAGAAACTGTCATTCCTTTTGACTACAAAATCTGTGCTATTTCTAAGTGGAGTTCTTTGAAATAACTAGGATATCTCACAGCTTGTTGCTTTAGAGGGGCCTTCGTACAGCAGCACTGCATTTAGTTAGCATAATGAGTTTTTTAGCCCCTGTAATATTGACTAAGATTGAAGCACCATAACTTTTAGTCAGCTAAGATTTAATTTATTAGTGAAGGATAAGTTGGCATAATATTTTAGCATTCCTAGAATTGTAAGCTGGGTGCTTGTTTTCTGAGAAGCATTTAGGTTAATATAACCAGGTTTTGACTTCAGGAAACAATTTAAGTGGAAAAGTATGCCTTTCTGTTACTCAGTAGGAAATGTCATGAAAGCAGCTTCTTCAGCGTGGTTTCGCAGTTACCATGTTTGACTTTCGAAATCCAGTTAACTGGATTTTGTTCAAGGTGGTTCAAGAGTCTTCCATGAGACTTTTGGTGCTTCTGTCCATTTTGAAAGCAGAACAGGATCCTCATAGGAGGATTACAATGCCTCAGTGGTCTGTGTGTTGAGTAGCTTGTCATAGTTAATCAAGCAGGAGTACAAAATCAGCTGATTAATCTGCTTGATCAATCCTTGAACAGGGATGGTAATAATGTAGTCATAGATGGCCACCTTAAATCTCTCTATTCTGATATATTAATACTCCCAGTACTTTGGCTATTACAGTTGTTTTAAATATAAAAAAGTACCTCTGTGAAATGTACCTTTGATCTTTTTAACTGATCTGCCTTAAAGATGTTAAGAATTTGTTCTGGCTTTGGGAAGGCTTTTGTCTTTAAGATAAATTAATATCATATATACTTACACAGTTTTGTACATGGCCTTTGTTAAAGCTTATACATAAACTACTCTCTGATTAATCTCATGAGGTTTTTTTTAAGCTGTTCTGTGGTATTTCATTTGCAGTATTTTGTGGTGAAGCTGTCTACATAAGACACTTTCCTTGATCTGAAGACTATGCTACAAATTTCTGTAATGAAGAACGGCTATAAAATCCAAATATAACATCTTTCTAGATTTCCTTAATCTATCGTAAAGTTGGTGTTGCTCAGCCTTAATTAGATTATTATAGACCTGAAACATATGAGTTAGAACAGCATGAGACGAGTCAAATTTGGTCATTAGCAGGGGTTCGTGGTTAGTATAGCTGGTTAGTTGTTAGCCCCTGAAATACATGAGACTACATTTTCCTTTTGATATGCTTTGAAGACAGGTCAAAATCCTTAACATGAATTAGGTCTACTGAGAAGGTCTATAATCCTGCTTTTTAATGAACTATATATTTCACATCTGAGTGATACTTATGTGTGTCAAGCATTGCTGAGACTCACTTGTATTAATTTTTAATTTGAGATGCATTGTTTTGGAAGAGCATTTACAGAAGATATTTCTGGATCCCTAGCAGACAGGGCTTTAAGGTGTGAAGTCTTGTTGGAAAACCTGGATTGTCAGGTTTCTTTTTTCAGTGGGGGAACACTTCAACTTCTCACACTTTGAATGCTATAATATACTTCCCTTTTTTTTGTGTGGTTTTTTTTTTTGTTTGTTTGTTTGCTTCTGTTTTTTTGTTTGTTTGTTTTCCTTTGTGGTCTTTGTTTGTTTGGGTTTTTGTTGTTTGGTTGATTTTTGTGGTGTTTTTGTTTTGTTTTTAGTATTTACTGCTGCAAATGTCTGCAAAAACCAGAGCTCTGGCTGTTCAGGACTGAACTGCTTCTGTCTTGTAGTTCTGCTATTTGTTGGGGAACTCCAAGGCAGCAGTTATGGTGGTGCTGGGGAAGGAAGGATGAGATGGGTATCTCAAGTGTAAGTTTGTGTTGAATATGGTTTTTTTGTTGCTGAAGTTTGTGTTGAACAAGGTGGTGATCTGTGGATTTCACTTGCCATGGAAGAGAAGAGCTTGGATGGCACCATATCAAGGAGCTGTGAACCTTGGTAGATGCATTATTGAGTGAAGCCTTGTGGAGGCAAATGCAGACAGTGCTGCTGACTCAGAGCAGTCTGACAGGAAAAAGACTCTCCCACTTCTGCTTGTCTCTGGCTTCCTCCAGCATGTGGTTGGTGCGAAATTAGTATCTGTCTCCACAGTTCTTTGATACCATTACCATAATCAGCCTGACCAGCAGTGGCTCCACAAAAAGAACTAGGAGGTTGGTGAAAAATATCTGTGCTATGAATGAGTTCATTAGGCTGGCTTTTCTCATGTAAAGAACCTGTAAAGCGATACTCAGGACTGATAAATAGCTTGTTTTCATTGCTGTCTGCATCCCTGACTTGTTTCCTCCCCAACCGCAAAGCATTGTGTGGATTTTTATGACTCTTCATGGAGCTGAGATCCTTAGCTGTGTGATGGTAACTGTGAGCAGGTGGGTCTGTTGTGAGGAGTGCTCCAGGTGGGTTTTGCAGTCAGTGCTGCGAGGCACCCATCTTGGAAGTGCTGAGTTAAAACCCTTCTGCAAGAAACAGGTGCAGAGGCTTAAAACACAAACCAGAAAGAAAACCCCAACATCAACAACAGAAAAGGATGGTTGTTGTTGTTGTTGGGAGCTTGTTTATGTGTTCTTTTCCAAATTGGATGCTGATGAGAGAGACTATTTTCTTTTGTAATATGTGTGCTTAAGAAATATTCATACCACCTACCTCCCAGTCCCCAGTGTGACTGGGGAAAAGCTCCTGTGCTTCTTAACAAAATAAGTGAGGTCTGTACTTGGCTCTGTGTTTGCTGGTAGGAGTTTTGCTGTTGACTTTAAGTGGAGGACATCAGTCCTCTACGTGGAAAAAAATACGTCCTTTGGTTAAGTTAGGTAAATAGAATTAAGTAAATTAAACTACAGTGAAACCAGAATAGTATTTTTTACCTTCTACACTTGTGGTTGTTGGTTTAGTTTTCTGAAGAGACTTAAAATAATATAGATTGGTTTTGTTGTTAGTTTGTTTTTTTTCTTCTCCTTAAAGTGCCATGGCATGGGTTGCTGGTTGGGATTGCCTGGTGCCCACTGATTAATTCCTTGTGTCACTGGTCTTGAATCTTGTTGCAGTCGTTCTTCTGAGAACTTGGGAGCAGCAGCAAACCAGCAGACCTGTTATTGACACAGAATAACAATAGCATTGTTAATACAATAAGCAGGGTTTTCTGTGAACGACTGTGCTGTTCTGTGGAGCTGGTGGGCTGGTTAACACCTTTTACTTATTCTGCAAAGATCTGAAGTTGGAACGGAATTAATGCAGTTGTGAAGAACAGAGAACCAAAATAGCAGTGATTCAGTTAGAGTAGAGCCAAACCTTCTTAAAATTAAACTCCATTGTGTTAGAGACTTTACTTTTTTGATACCTATATTATTAACTTCTCTGATAAGAGCAGGAAATGTAATACAGTGATATTGGAGAAGCCTTGCACATTAGATCTGTTATCTTGGGGTTGTAGGAGAAGAAATCACTCTTCATCTGGTGTGTTATGGGAATCAGATGCTGCAGAATTTCTGGTTCTCAAGGTTACAATATAATTCAGAAAACTAGTTTTTTTGGGTAGATTTGGTTTCCTTAACTTCCAAATAGGTCATTGGAAAGAGAGGGAAGGCTGCAATACATATATGGGTATTTCTAGTTTCTTAAGTAACAAATGATATCAGACAGTTTGAGGAATTTTGTAATGGGTGAGAGGGTTTACTTGCAAGTTGCTGCTGCTGTTCATTTTTTTTTTTTTTTATAATGGCATTTGGTAACTTTGTATGTAACAGGGTGGTGGTCTTCTCTCATAGAAGTGGTTCAGGGTTTGCCTTGTGGTTGACCTTTCTAATTGGACTGGATCAGGTGCTTGAAACAGGATTGACATTTGCAGGCAGGAAAATATGGAAGAAAGCTGAGGAATTCATGTATTACAGACAAAGTATTTCCTGGACTGCAGTCAAAATGTGACTGTTAACGTGCAGGTTGTTCAAGAAAGTGACAGCTTGACTGTGCCACAATGCAGAGACAGTAGATGTGGCCATATGCATGTTAACCCTGATACACAGGGGTAACAAAAGTATCTCTGGAGAGGCTGGTTAAGGGTACCTCAAGGGGAGGCACTGCACAGAGCTTAGTACTCATGAACCTGAGATGATACAGCCAAACAGTGCTGTCTGTGTGACCTGACTTGCAGACCCAGATACTACAGCTGGGTTTTTCTGCTTATTAGTTTTTCTCTCTATGTATGTGTTCTAGTAGCCACATGAGAAGAGTTTTCACCCAACTCCTTTTAATTGTCATAATTTAAAGCTTACTTGTTCCATTCTTCTAAGTTATAACCGGTTTGGAGATTAAGTGCTAATGAAGCTTTATGTTGCAGAAATGCTCTATTTTTGTTACTTCACAGAATGGCACTGTTTGTATGCCAGGATACCCCTGAGAGGTCTTTATATTCTTCTTCTTCCCAATCTTCACGTGGTCAGGCTCTCTCTCCCTCTTTTTTTCTGTACACTTTCCCCAGTTTCCCATGCTTGATGTCTAAAAACCTATTCAACATCACTGATGTCTCAAGTGGTGAGTATGTAAATATTTACCGGCATGACAGTCAGTAACAGTGGGAGGGGGAAATTGCTGCATCTTACCATGCAGGGAACCTTCAAATTCTCTCTGAGTGTGCAGTTGATGAGAACAGGAAAGGTTTGCAGTTTGTACTTGACTTGATGTGTTTTTGCTCTCTTGGTTCCTGTTTTGTTGCAGATGTCATTCATATAGCTGCGGAAGGCTTTATCAGCTCCTGAGGAAACTTTCCCCTGCACACACACACCCGCACCACTCAAGGCTGGAGCTTCACTGAAGGAAAATGAAGCTTTTAGACCTCCTGGCATATGCCTCCACAGAAATGGATAGTACAACGGTCACTCTGGCTTTGCTGGCTGTCTTCCTGGTCCTACTGTACTGGTAAGTGATAAGGATGATTTGGGCTCCATATCAGACACAAAGCCTGCTGAAGCTCCCTCAGCATCTCTGGAGCCTTTTATTCTTAAGGTGAAACTGGGAAATAATTGCCTAGAAGTGGCACAAAGGGGGAGTTTGTTTGGATGAAGAAGTTGAAATAAATAATTACAAAACTCATGATACATTTTAGAGAATTGACTGCTTGCAATATTTTCCCTTACAGGCTTTCCCAGCAAACTGCTGAGAAAAACTGACTTAAAAATTAAGAACCTATTATTGTTGGTTTCCTACTGATTTCCTTAAGTAGCAGAAACATTGGTGCTGGTCAGAAAGAAACCAAGAACTTGTTGCAGGGTCTTGTTAGACCTCTTCTCAGTACTATGGACACACACTTGCCCCTTGCCAGGTTTCTTGGCTTAAGTGTACAGACACTTTAACTGCTGCTTGAATTTCCCTTCTTTTTCTTTCCATGCTGAGTAGTGTACACAAATCAGAATAACAGCAGCTCTAATGGTTAGCACAGTAGGCATTGCAGTGAGCTGTGCTAAAATTAAAAAACCACAACACTGTCCAGATAATTTATTCCAGAAATTAAATTAGCTGAACCTGAAGTGCTTTTCTAACTGTTTTTACTTTAATACCTCTTCAAATCCTACTTTCCAGTCAACCAGTGTTTTTTTCTATATGTTCCAGAAAGTTTCACAGACAGGGGTAGAAAAAGAACCTCTGACTAAAACCTAAAACCTATCTAGAAGAGAACAGTGATGGCACTATGAGTTTAGCACAATTACTGTAGTCGTGTAAATGATGGATCATTTCTGCACGTTTCTTCATTCTTTGGCCCTGTTGAACTTTATTCAACTTCCTTGTATTTCAAAGGAGGGTCTAGAGGGACTGAAAAAGGCTCTTGTTTTTGTCAAGCCTGTATTTGATGTGTGTTGCCATATCAAGTACATGGGTGAGACTACCTTCTTAGTAAGATCTGCCCAAATAATCACAAGGGTCCAAGTCCTCCTTCCTTTTAATTTTACTGGGGAAAAAAATGGAAGCACTGGATCTTTCAGTTAAACCATATTGTTTAGCTGCTGACCTGTGGATCTCAGTAAGCTTAAGGGGATAAGCGGGAGGGTAGAAGAATGCAGCAGATCAGCTGTTGAGATCTGGCTGCCTGTGAGACAGCTGAAAGGGTCTGATGCTTCCATCTAGTACATGTCAAGATGTGCTGAGGTCTCTGAAGACACTGAACTGCTTCATGTAAATATAGGATCTGCTCTGGTGCATGCTTCTCCAGAGCCTCATTTTCTGGTTCAATTTAAGGAAGGCTGTTTCTCCCCTTGAAGAGAACATGGCAGTTTAGTGCAGATTTTGGTCTTGCCATAAACAAACCTAACTCTAATTGCAGACTCAAGTGAAAGTTAAAAGAGGCTCCTGGCTGTGGGCTGTCAGCTGCTGAATTGAGTGCCCAGTTTCAAAACAACCAATCTGGGAGTGAGGTGGGAAATTGCCTTGCAGTAGAGATACCCCATTCAGTGTTTTTCCTTTCCTGACTGAAGGTGAGTTCTGTGAAGGCATCAAGTAAAGGAAGCTGGAGTTTTCTATGAGAAAGTGTTTTATACTCTTACCTGCCAATGGTTATTACTAACCAGCCTTGTTGATCCACAGACATGGGTTGACTTTAAGTAGCTTATTAAATACAGGTGCCTATAAGACACTCTTCCGA